ATTAGAGAAATAAATAATTCTAAAAAATGTTTTGAAACTAGATAGTGCTGAACGTACTATATAAATGACACTTGATTGTACATTTTAAAATGATGTATTTTTACCACAATAAAAAAGGAATAAATTAAAAAATAATAATACCTTGATTTTTTCACTCTCTTTTTTCACTCGCTTTGCATTTTCAATAATGTAAACAGTGCTCTTGTTGACTTCATTGTCAGCTCTGTGTCTCAGCCAATCCTCATACCCCTAGAAAGAAATAACTATATAATCAAATATAGAAAATGAAATAAACTTGTTAATAAACTTTTCATAACCCCTCCATGAGTCAACAGCAGGTATTTATAATTATAGTATTAATTTCATCTCAGAATGTTGAAGAGACACTGCTATATATTTAGAAAGCAAATCTGAGACATACTTTCAAAATACCTCTTAGGTAAATAGCTTTATTGTGTTAAAAGGTGTTTTTTTTTTCGGTTTTGTTTTTTGTTTTTTTCCGAGAGGTTTTTGCTATAGCGCGTGTGCGCTTGCCAGGCAGACAGAGAGAGACATAGACAGAAAGCGAGAAATCACCCCCCCAGGGGGGAATGGCCACTCTGCAATCCCTTCTCCTCCGTTCTCCTCTCGGGATCTTCAGCATGCATGCACATGCGCCTGGCGTGAGTTTTAAGCCACCGGGTCCGGGACGCGAACCGCAGTCAGCTACATGGGAGTCCAGCGACATAGCCATTACGCTAACTGCTGGTCCCTAAAAGGTGTTTTTCATATGAATAGTAATGAAAATACAGACATTAGAGTATAAAATATTCTTCCCCTATGAAGGACTAAAATTTATTATTCTAATTCTACTGTTATTGAAGTTAATTATCTCTACTTATTTAATTTGAAAAATGCTTGAGGTGCTTGAGGTTTTATTTTCTTATAGATCTGACACTTAAATATATTCCTCTTTCCAGATTGTAGAATGTTGGAAAAATTATCTCCAAGGATATAATTCTTCCTCATCCTCAGAGAATAGAAAAGGCAAGTTGGAATTGTTCTGGCAGAGAATCTATGATAAATTTTAGAGATGAACAACTCAACTTCTTCACTGACTTGGTAATAAGAGAAAAATATAAATTGGTATTCATTTTTTAAAATTAAAACTAATCAGGTTGGGGACTAGCATATGACATAATGGTTATGTCGCTGGACTCCCACATGGCCGACCACGGTCTGAGTCCCAGACCAAGAGGCTTGAAACTCATGCTGGATGGAGAAGGGACTGTGGTGTGGCCATGCCCCTACGGGATGATTTCTCACTTTGTCTCTCTGTCTCTCCATTGAGCACACATGCCCTACAGTAAAAATAACTCTTTACAAAGAAAAAAAAAAGTAATCATGTCAGCTAGTGGTGTGGTAGTTAAGGTGGCTGAATTCTACATGGCTTACTGAGTGGTTCGAGTCCTGGACCTAGTGGCTTGAAAACCACACCAGGAGCATGTGCATGCATGCTCAAAAATCCTGAGAGGAGAATGGAGAAGGGGTTGTAGCATGGCCATTCCCGCTAGAGGGTGATTTCTCACATTCTCTGGTGAGTACACGTGTCCTATTAGAAAAATACTAAAAATAATAAATAATAATAATAATAGTAATTAAGGAAAAATCTAATGATTTGTTTTGCTTGGACATTTTATTTCAAGCCGAAAGAATAAAGGAAGGATGATATTCACTTGAGTATGTCCTGCTCACCTTTTATATACAACCTTTGCTTTTTTCCATTGTAATGTTTCTACCTTTTTTTTTTTTTGAGAGATTTTCACTGTAGGGCGCGTGCGCTCGCCAGACAGACAGAGAGAGACATAGAGACAGAAAGCGAGAAATCACCCCCCAGGGGGGATGGTCACGCCGCAGTCCCTTCTCCTCCATTCTCCTCTCAGGATCTTGGGCACACACGCACACGCGCCCGGCGTGAGTTTTAAGCCACCGGGTCCGGGACACGAACCGCGGTCGACTACGTGGGAGTCCAGCGACATAGCCATTACGCTAACTGCTGGTTCCCTAATGTTTGTACCTTTTCAAACATGACAGTTTGAAAAAAAAAATCTCTTGACCAGCTCCCCCTCTTTCCCCTTAGGTGCTATATCCATTCCTCTTCTGTCCTTCTTTATGACAATTCTAGGCTATCACTTCATAGGGTACATTCTGTGATGTCAGTGAAGAAAGACAGGCTCCCCCATGAACTAGTATTGGGACAAGGATGAATTGGTAAAAACCTTTGAAAATCATACATGCTATTCTTGGAATCAGCAATTTTATAATGTTAAAGAAAACAATCCTAACAGCCTCAGAGAAAGAACTTTTCAAAAGTATTTAGAAACCAAACTCTTGATAAAATATTCTTACCATTCTTGGTAGGCAAGATACAGACTCAGATAACACAAAGAAGAAAGGTGAACCTTGTTCCCAATACTTTTAAGCAGACCTTCATTTTTTTAAGATTTTATGGGCGATACTTTAAAAAAGTACGTTGGTAAATACAATCTAAAAGTATGTTTGCAAATAGTGAGGTCCTGTGAACTATCCCAAAACATAAGTATTGTTAACCCATTCTTCTACCTCTATTGTCCTGTCTCCATTTTCAGTTTCCTCTGAAATTTTGGAAAGATACTAATACACAAAATGCTTCAAATACTTCAAAGATATCTGCATCACGATCTGTAGCCATTTATCAGCTCTGACAAGAAACTAGAATAACAGACCTCTCTATCCACCATACACTTCAGTGGCATTGGGACAATAAAATTAAACTATGTTCCTTTGAGGTCTTTGCTATCAGTAACAACAAAAAATACACTAAAATGCAAAATTTTCAGACAGATACCACACTGAAACAATTAACACACAGTGAAAATCCACCACTGTTGTCCAACTGACCTGTACCTTCTACCTATTTTTTCTTTTATGTTTACACTACAACAAATAGATTTTGAGGAGGAAAGAAGCAAGAACTGGGTCATTGGGAAAGTCATGATGCATTTTTGCTTAGAAAAACACAGCAAAATATGCCATGGCTTTCCCAGCAACCTAATAAATTAAAAAGTGCCTTATGAACATTTTAATAGGTTTTTAATGGAAACCAAATATAAACTAAATCCATCAAGGATAATATCTACTGTATATACATATGAAAAAGAGCCCTTGACAATGAAATTAAAACCAGCCTAGAATGAAATACAGGTCTATGTATAAATAAAAAATTTACCTGTTTGATAGCTGTAACAGTTATAACAAAGAAAAGTGGAAGTCCACTTGTAACTGGACTAGTCGGTGTATCTACTGTGACCTAGATAAAGAAATTAAATTAAAAATAAAATGAAAACTAGTCATGAACTCATATGCAGCACTTACATGTTATAAACATTTCAGACAGAAGTACAGACAAAATACATTCCAGTAGCAAGATGAGTGTTAATTTTCATTAAAACAAAAGCAACCCACATAGGAGTTACTATAAGAAATGGTCAGCAGGTAGCCTGGTGGTTAAGGGACCAGACTCTCATGTGGCCAACAATGGTTCAAGTCCCGGACCTGGCAACTTGCTTTCTCACTTTCTCTTTTTTTCTCTCTCTCTCTTCTCTCTCACTCTTCCAGTCTCTCATTGGTGAGAACATGTGCCCTATAGCAAGTTAAAATAATAATAATAAATAAAGATAAAATAAATTTAAAAAAGAAATAAGTCCTAAATTCAGGCTTAGTTTTCATCCCATCTTAGATTGACCTCTTTACTGAAATATATTCATTCACTCACTACCTATTTGTTAAGCACCATTCTGTCAGTCCCTGTGCTATTATCAGCTAGTCTCTAGATATATTGCTTTAAACAAAATGGAAATAAGTTCCTGTCTTCAAGAAGCTGGTAGCTTACAGGAAAAGTCAGACATTAAAACACATATGTGTGCAGACACAAAAATCTGAAGGGTAAAAAGGACTTAACTAGATGAAAGGGGGCTTATCAGGCACAGTGAACAGTGTATACAAAGTCTGTATGGTGGGAGGGAGTATAGCACACATAAGGAAATAAAGGAAACCACTGGCAGGAGGGAGTGATATGAAATGAGGCTGGAGAGAGACAAACAGGAGCCAGACTAAATAGGCTCTTTAGCCCAGAGTGAACTATGAATTTTTTATTTTACAGTCAGAAATCCTTGAAAGTGTTGGGCAGGGAGAGGCCACATGAACATAAATGCATTTAGAAAAGATCATGTATTTTCAGTTCTTTGTTGAAAATGTATTGGAAGGGCTCCAAAAAAATAAATAAATAAATAAAAAAGAAAGAAAAAAATGGGACCAGCAGTTAGCATAATGGCTATGTCACTGGACTCCCACATAGTCGACCGCGGTTCGCGTCCCGGACCAGGTGGCTTAAACTCATGCCGAGCACGTGTGCGTGCATGCTCAAGATCCCGAGAGGAGAACGGAGGAGAAGGGATTGCGGCGTGGCCATCTTCCCTGCGGGGTGATTTCTCGCTTTCTATCTCTCTCTCTGCCTGGCGAGCGCATGCACCCTATAGCAAAAAAGCCTCTCAAAAAAAAAAAAAAGAAAAAAAAAAGTAGTCCATCCAGGAGGCTATTGCTGTAATACAAGTGAAAGGTGATAGAGTGGACTGGAATGGTAGAAACAGACATTGAAAGAAGTTCTGAAGATGTTTAGGAGGCAAAAATGGCACAATTGATAAGTACTGAAAAGAGATGTCTCCTAAGTATCTGGTAAACATCTGGGTGGGTGTTGTTAGTAATCAGTGAAATAGGAAATACCAGGCTAGCTGGATGCATGGTGATTAAGGAGGCTAGATCCAACATGGCCATCTGTGTGGTTCAAGTCCCGGACCCAGTGGACTAAAGAACACGCTGTGTGCCTGTGTATACGTGCCTAGAATCCCAAAAAGAGAAAGAGGAGGGGGACTGCAGCATGGCACTTTCTGTCTCTGTAAAATAAGACATACACACTCTAGCAAAATTTTTAAAAAGAGAGAGAAATAGAAAAAACTAAGAGAACTACATTTGACAGGGGAATCATGAGTTCAATTTGCCCTCACAACTCATGTCCCTGTCATCTATAACCCCCAGCCAGGTCTGCCCCTCCCATATACCCTCAGTTGCAGAAACAATGGTACACTTCCATGCATACACAAGGCTTTTACATGGCTCCTCTCTACTCCTGCGATATCAGCCTGGCATTTTTCATCCAGTAAATCCCTTCTAAATCTAGAAAGCTTAATTCATAGATCATTTACTTTGAAGCTTTCTCAAGCTCCTCTTGGGTAGAAAAAAATAAAATGTTCACTGTCTACCCACAATGTTTTGTTCATGCTCTTTTTAAAAAAAGAATTATTTTTATTTATTCATTTATTGAATATTTTATTTTGACCAGAGAGAGACACAGAGAGAGAGATAGAAAGTGAGAAAGCAAGCCACTAGGTCCAGGACTCGAA